ATAAATGTTAACAATAGTGTGAGTCATTTAATCAATTTACATTCTTTAAAATTATCTCCCATACGTTTCTTTTGTTGTCTTTGTCCAACGAAATCCACATCTTTAATGACAAAGGATGTCCAATTCACATGCTAACCTTCCCATCTAATCTTGTTACAATGCTTATTATGTAATTGGATCTTTACAGTTTCCTTTTTATCTAAATGAACACCCTCTTTTAACGTTATGTAAACCACTTCCACTCTCTAATGCATAGAAACCCTATTGTAAATCGCCTAAATTATTATGGTCAATAAAGATTTTACAATCCGCTATGGACTCAATACACCTCAATTCAATTCCACTCAACGCAACCCAAATCAACTCAACGTAACTCAGCCCGACCCAACTCAACTCAACCCAATACAACACAACACAACCCAATTCAAATCAGCCCAGCGGATCTTAGAAAGCCGATCGACAACACTGGTGACATTTGGCTACTGATCGACATCACACTCTACGATTCAGAAAAAATCCACCACAGAATTGTTTGGTGCTCGAGGTGAGGTACGATGTCATGTAGCATCATTGCCAGTATTCAACCAGCAAAACCAGGTTAGCCTTTCTTCTTCAAGAGATAAATTCTCTAGAATTCGAATCTCCGGACCCAAACTTCTCATTAGAGCAACAGAGAATCCTTTACACAACATTGAAACAAATACTCGCTAATAAATTCGATAGAGTCCAATTATGTGTTAAGGAGCTCGAAGTTGCTTACGACACATGGCTCAAGTATATTCAAACCATCACTGCGACGAAAAAAGGGAAGAAAAGGCTTACGAATGTGACACAGAGGGTGAGCACGGACTATTTCGGATAATGCATGAGAGGAAAGAAGCGCTGATAACATTAACAAGGTGTAAGGATGACGCCGAGCAAAGGTTGGAGCAGTTATTTAAGGGAAAGTGTAAGGAACAGGAAAGATCAATTCCTCCTTCAAACCTTACGGTCAATCTCCCTCAATTATCCCTACCTACCTTCAATGGTTTCCCCAGACAATGGCGGCAGTTCTGGAGCAGCTTCAACGCAGCAGTCCATTCACAAACGATTCCTGAAATCCAAAAATTGAATTATTTGTTTTCATTCTTAAATACAATGCTTTACAAGTTGTACCAGGCTATGAAATAGCACCTGAAAATTACGAGGTAATTAGACAACTGCTTAGAAATAAATATGGAGACCCCTCGACAATAACGACGATATTATACAACGAATACCAAGCCATCAAAAGAAATGAAAAGGAATGGATGGCCACGATCGAAAATATAGAACGAGTGCTACGTCAGTTCGAAGCCATAGGAAAGAACTTGGAGCATTTAAGTATCGAAACTACGATAGAAAGTAAGTTGCCATCATGGATTTCGAATAAGTATATACTCAAAAGAAAGTAGAGGTGCCTTGGTCAATTTCAAAACTTGAAGATTTTTTGTCGAACATAGTTCATGTAACCCAACAGGTCAAGAATTGTCAGAATCCTTCCACATTTATGCACAGGAAACTTACAATCAACAAGTTAGGACAAAAACCCAGATATAATCCTGTAGGAACATCAGCGCTGTCGATGGTACGTAGCAATTCAAAACCCTTATCATCCGCAGTTCGAAGCAATTAACATTCATCACAACTCACCTGAGTAAGAGAAGGCCGTGCATATTCTACAACCGAGATCATTGGGATAGCGAATGCGACGCCTATCCAACTGCTAAGGGTAGAAGGAATCGCCTCAAATTGCTAAAGAAATGCCTGATCTGTTTTAAAGACAGTCACAATGGCGAAAGATGTAAATTCAAAAAACAATGCTTTTACTGCAAACAACAGTGCGCTATGTGACAGCAGAAGCACAACTTCATCAAACAGCTTGGTTCATTCCGAAGTTAAGGATTATCACGAAAATCTTCAAATTCCTCCAAAAATGGATTATTCAACTTCCCTCTATAACTCAATCAACACTACTCGAACAAATACAACAAAGGAAACTTTACTCTTATGCAAGGAAGTAAAAGTTTTTAGTCCAACTTAACACCAACGACAAAAGAAGGCCTTAGCATTATTCGAACATGGTTCGCAACTCTCCTTCATTTCCCAGAAGTTACCGCAACAATTGAAGTTAACAGAATCTGACAAACAAATTATGAAAATAACTCCATTTGGTACGAGGAATCCAACGTTGTGTCCCACGGCTTCTATGCAATTGAACGTGGAAACAATGGAAAACGACGTTATAAGGGTGCGTGTTAACGTAGTTGAACACCTAACTAATGAATTGAGGTCGTGGATACACCAAGAGAAATTCAATTTCAAGAATTAACAAATCACTGGAAGAAACCCGATATATTGATTGGAGCCGATCACTTCTTCAAGTTTACCAAATTGCAGAACGTACAGGAATTAAGTCCAGATCATATATTGGTGTAGTCAAAGGTTGGCTCCATAATTGCCGGAAGTGGAGATGTAAGTAAACTTTGTCAAAATAACATTCCTTCACAAAATTTGGTATGTACCGTTAGGGCTAATATTAATTCAGAACTAGAAAATTTTTGGAGATTAGAATCAATAGGAATTCAAGAGTCTCCGAATGATAATGATGACGAAGAAACTCTAAAACACTTTCAAAGAACACTCACGAAAATGGATGGTCGTTATCATGTCTGCTGGCCATGGAGGGATTCTAAACAAAATTTAAGCGACAGCTATGGTTTATGCACGGGACGTTTAAAAAACTTAATCAAAAAATTGCAACTCAAATCGCTTCTCCAGGTATATCATAATGCAATCATAGAACAATTACAAACAGGAATGATTGAAGGAAGAAGTTCCTCATAATGACGAAGTAGATGTCATACATTACCTTCCGCATCACCGCACGAAATGTGGAACCCTAGTAAAAATACTACAAAATTAAGAATAGTGTATGATGGCATTGCGCATCAAAAGGGATATAAAAGTCTCAACGAAGTTCTCCATAGAAGTCCGGTAATGTTACCTGATCTAGTCGGTGTATTATTACGGTTTCGAATGATGAAATTAGTCATAATTGCTGACATGGAAAAGGCTTTCTTACAAATAGGACTACATCCTAAGGAGGGAAATTGTACAAGATTTCTATGGGTCAAGAACCTAGGTGAGGAAGTATCAGAGAAGAACATCAAATTTTACCGATTTAAACGAGTGCCGTTCTGAGTGATATCTTCACCCTTCCTGTTAGCGGCAACCCTCAAATACATTTAGATCACACGGCAAATAGTTTGACCTCTGAAATAAAACAGAACTTATATGTTGATAACATCATTTTGACTGCAGACGACACGGAAGAAGCGATATATAAATATCACGAAACCAAAGAAATCTTTAGAAAAGCGTCAATAACTGTTAGAGAATTTTTATCCAATGATAAGGAATTCAACAAACGAATTCCGGAGGATGATTTGAACAAAATGAATAAAGAAATCTTCTTTGGACTTAACTGGAGTCAAGACATGGATACCATGGGGTTGACATTAAAACCATGGTCAAATAAAAGATTGACAAAAAGAACGATTCTACAGTTCATCGCGTCACAATACGACCCACTGGGATACTTAATCCCGACCATGGTAAGGTTCAAACTATTTGTCCAGCACTTATGGAAGGAAAAGTACGCATGGGATCAATCCATAAGCGACACCGACAAAGAGCAATGGAAAACCTCTATATCAGAATGGCCAATGGTGGTGAAAGAGATACCGAGATTCATAACAAAGAACACTAAATCAATGGAATTCCATATATTTACGGATGCGTCTAAACTGGCCTATTCGGCTGCCGTCTATATTCGATATATTGACGAAGAAAGTAAGATTACTAAATCTTATTTGTTATACGCTAAATCTCGAATTGTACCAATCAAATATATATTGATTCCAAAACTCGAATTGCTATCTATATTGATAAGAGTTAGAACGGGCCGACTCGTGTTAAACCAATTATGGTATCGAGTAAAACATGTTACTGTATGGTCAGATGCAAAATGTGCCCTTTTTTGAGTTAAAAATGAATCAAAATTACTTCCGCGATTTGTGCAAAAACGAGCTGAAGAAATCCGAAATTCTCGCTTTAAATTACTTTACTTACCGAGCTATGATAATCCAGCCGATATGATCACAAGAGGGATTTCAGCAACCAAAGTTCGCTATAACAGATTATGGTGGAATGGTCCGTACTGGCTGGATAAGGATCCATCACAATGGTCTAACGGAGAATTCAGTTATAATGCAGAGGACGAGATTATACAAGCGGTAATGACAAATTTAGCAGACTATCACACATAATTATGTAGAAGATAAAATCCAATTTATTGAAGCACACCGCTTTAGTAAATGGACTAAGATAATTGGAGTAACCGTTTGGACTCTTCGATTCATTAAAAGGTCTTGTAAAAAGGATATACCTTGGCTAAAATCATTGTCCATAACAGGTAGCAAAATGTCAAAGGACGATTACAATTTAGCAGAGTGGTTATTAATCAGGCAGGCATAATCACAAAACCTAATGAGTGAAGAAATAGAGAAATGGAATCTCTTCCAGGAGATCCAACAGTCGACTAGAAAATTCAGAACTGGGTAACGAAAGCAAATATCCCATTTATTTACCAAATAATGTAACTAAACTGTAACTAAACTCATCATTTGGCAACAACATAATAAGTTGTACCATGCTGGTGTCGCGCACACCTCATTATTAATAAGGTGCAGATTTTGGATTCCAGAAGGAAGGGCCGCAATAAAACGAACGATATCTCATGCATGGCTTGCAAGCGATGGAAGGCAAAACCTTTCAAATTGCCACCAATGCCAAGCTTACCAGAATCACGAGTAAGGCGATCAAGATCATTCGAGCAGGTAGGTTTAGATTATTTGGGCCCCCTCTCGATTAAATCGCTTACTGGGGTAATAAAAAGATGGATCGCCCTCTTCACATGTTTTACAACTAAGGAAGTTCACCTTGAACTGGTTGAAGATTTATCCGCTGAAAATTTCTCGCATATTATGAGAAGATTCGTTGCTCGTAGAGGATATCCAAACTAATACTCAGCGACAACGCCAGCCAATTTCAACTAGTATTCAGAAAAGTAATGGACGAAAACGCCAACTTCCTCGCCGAAAAAGGTATGATTTGGAAGAACACAATTCCACGAGCGCCTTGGGATAGTGGTGTTTATGAACGGCTTATTGGACTGACAAAGGAGGCCTTAAGAAAAGCGATAGGAAGAAGACTCCTCATAGAAAGGGAAATGACAACACTAATTACGGAAATCGAAGGAATATTGAATACGCGTCCATTGAGTTACGTTGGGTTTGATGATTATAGGATAATACGTCCCACTGATTTCATTTCACCTACGGCATCATTAGATATACCAATTAAATATGAAAACGAGGAGGAGGAATATACTCCTTACGTATTGAAAACAAAGGATAACCTAATCAAGCACTGGACAAGTACTCTTAAAACACTAGATGTTTTTTGGAAGTTATGGAGAGAGGATTATCTCGCGAGTTTAAGAGAACGTCAGCAAAAAGAAATACATTCCCCTAGACTCATAGAAAAAAGATTGCCACAAGTAAATGAAATAGTTTTATTGGTAGAACCTAATGTCCCTCGTGGTATATGGAATCTTGCACAAGTAATCAAACTTAACAAAAGTCTAGATGGTCGGACTCGAAGCGCCACCCACAACTGCCCAATAGGAAACAACTCGATCGTTCTCTAAATATGCTCTGTGCACTGGAAATCAATAGCGTTAATAATAGTGATTTCAGCAATACAAAGAACCTTTTAGAAGACGATTTAGAACCAATAGCTAGCCGAACTCGAAGCGCAAAGACGACTGCGACCATGCCGAAATTACCAGTAAAACAACATCCAATAATTTTTTGAAAACATTATCATTGATAACAATGTTATCGCTAATAGCAGTACAGATTGTAGCCGCAAACAATTGCAAATGGATTTCCGCAATATCTTATAACATCCCTCAGAGATGGAACTGCAAAGAAATCATCAATGAATTGCAAGCTTCGTTTATAATTGATAAAGAAAATAACACAACCATAACGACAAATTGTAGATTCACTAATCTCTATCTAATGAAAGGAAATATTATCCTTGATATGGCTACTGGAAATGATGAAAATTTTACGAAAAAATCACCGTGAGCGATAACAAAACAATTACTTATGACGGAGACTTCGCCAAAAGAAACATTCGACCCGAATAACGTAAGGTCTAATAGACAAGTTGATGTTGAAAGAATCAATGCAGAATTAGAACTCACAATCAAGATGCAGTTAATACAATACCTTATCGACCAAAAGATGATCCTCTTTGGGAAGAAATTTTCGAGCAAGGGGAGGAACTAACAAACTAATTAGGAAAGGAATTCGACCAAGTTATTCAATCAAGCCAAGAACTTGAAAATGTAGCCACATATTGGAGTTTAATAACCGTTTGTATGAGTATTGTTACAATCTCTCTCGTAATAATTAGTCATAAATTTAAACTCGCATCCCTACGATCCTTATTTTGTTTTTCAGGAGAACGAAATTCAAATCACAAAAATATCATTGTCCTCCCTAAGGAATCTAAACTTGCCCAAGTTCTAGGTAAAGAAAAGCAAGTTCCAGTTATTAGACTTAATATCCTTTCCTCTACACCTGAAGACCTTCCAATCAAACCATCATACTAGTTTTTCCTCTCACCTCCCTTTGGGAGTGTCGCGAATTCCGATTCGTGAGACTCCAACCATACCCCAAACAAACAAATAAATTTCTTGTAAATAAATGTTAACAATAGTGTGAGTCATTTAATCAATTTACATTCTTTAAAATTATCTCCCAAACGTTTCTTTTGTTGTCTTTGTCCAACGAAATCCACATCTTTAATGACAAAGGATGTCCAATTCACATGCTAACCTTCCCATCTAATCTTGTTACAATGCTTATTATGTAATTGGATCTTTACAGTTTCCTTTTTATTCTAAATGAACACCCTCTTTTAACGTTATGTAACCACTTCCACTCT